GCTGTATCCACTGCTGCCCCCAAAGCTGGATTCTTCGCGACGGCCACCGTAACCGCCGCTCGAAGTATTTTGTCGTCCGCCGTAGCCGCTGCTGGACGTATCCTGACGCCCGCCGTATCCACTGCTGCCTTGGCTCTCATCCTCGCGACGACCGCTGGTTCTGCCGTAGCTGCTGCTGTCATCGCGGCGGCCTCCTCCATAGCTGTATGTGCTTTCATCCGTCCTCCCATAGCTGCTGGATGACTGCTTCTGCGGTTCCTCCTCGCGGTCCTTATCGCCCCGGTTGAGGATGCCGCCGAGCAGAGACCCGATGAGGCCGCCTCCACCCGAGCTGCTCTCCTTCTTGTCATCCCTCCCAGACGTAGGAAGCTTCATGCCGGTCGTGCCCTCGAAGGCGCTGGAGATGGCACCAGCGGCGCCGGCGAAGATGGCGCCGGCGGCCTTGTTCGCGATCTTATCCTCCCAGGTCTCAGCGGTCTTGCCAAATTGCTTGTGCATCTGGAGAGAGCCGAGGCAACCGTGGCCATGTCCCGTATCATGCTCCCCTTCCTTATGGTTGTGATGATTGCGGACGCCGTCGCGACTCAGTTTTCGGCGGTACTCCTCCTGTCGCTGGCGGCCCAAGCCGGACCACCACTCCTCGATGGTGCGGAATATTATCTCCCGGCCTTCCCGGATGCCGTCATTGCCCTGCCCTCGCTGAGCCGGGTGATGCAAGACACCGTAGATGATGCGCGTTATGGTGCGGTCAATGTCGGCACGCTCATCGTCCATGGCCTCCATGACCTGGGGGACTACCCATCTGACCGTCTCAAACGCAGCACGACCAGCGGGCTCGTTAAGAAGCTAAGGGGAAAGTGAATTTAGCCAAGCGGTAGGACGAATGAAAGACGCAATCGCAGAAGAAAACTGGCATGTGTACAACCTACATTGGTAAAGTGATCCTTGGACAGCAGGGAATGCGTAGGGTCGGTTTCCCTGTCGTCGTGGAAGACATTGTGCTGTTCTCGTTGGCTGGACTCGACCAGGTGCTCAGACCCGGTTTTCATTTCGTTTTGAATTTGGTGGATGACGGGGAGAATAAAAGGCGCGATATTAGAGTAGACGAACATAGTGAGCTGCTCCTCTAGCTGCTCGAGCAGCTTGGGTAGCACGGGCAACTTGTCGAACGCGCCCGAGATGGACTGCATGACATCGTCGTGCCACTCAATAATGGGCATGATCTGCTTGAAGACACCCTGAATGTAGCGAGTGAATTCTTCTGGTTCCCTCGGCGAGACGCTCATGTTCTGCATCTGGGAAGAGGCCGCCTGTTGCTGGATCCCATCGATGCGATCACTTTGGTGCTTCCCGCCGAAGAACTCATCGGGGATCTTGTCCAGCAATGATCTCAGAGCGCTCGTATCATTCTTCTTGCCGTTCTGGAGGGTGCTCTCCAGTTCCTGAAGCTCGTTCTGCTTGAGCTTGTCCGTGACTATATGCTAGTCAGCGAGATAGATACCGCGCCGCGCCGCGCCGCGCCGTTATGGACGACTTTTAACCTACCTTCACCAGTGACGGAGTGCAGAAAGTCCACGCCACCGAAAGTGCCCGTTACGAGCGGGTAGACATTTCCACGGGCGCCCTCTAGTCTAATGAGGGCGTCGCGGCCGACAACAGGGAAGATGTCACGTTCGCCCATCTCGATGAGGGCAAGCTCGGTGTAGTTGCTATGGGCAAAGAAATCTGCATTGCGAGTCAGATGGGAAAAGCCACGCAGCGCACAGAGCTGGATGGAAGGACACGAATGACTGGCTTGCCTTCCAAACAATGTAGAGCAGTCCCCAAAAGGTACAGCGATTCGCAGAGGTCTTCATCTCTCTTGCTTCGACCGAATTCCCGGCCTTTCTGAATGCAGCGGCTAAAGAGATCCCGCATTAGTCCTGCTGAGGTGGTGATGCCAGCCTGCTCGTTGGCGATGTAGTTCTTCATCCCAGTCCTGGGGTCGATTGCTAGCTCCCGACGCTCATCGACAGGACCTCGGAGGCGGCGGTCGTATCGCCTGGCATCTTCGTTGTCTGCATAGTTCTTGGGGTTGTCGATGTGTTCCTCGGGGCGGTAGGTGCCTGGCAGGTGCAGGTTTGGATAATTAGCAGAAAGTCAGGCGGCCGAATTATGATTTCGGGGTTGTGAAAGTAGCCTCACCAAGTCTCTCCGCAGTTACTTCAAACTCCTTGGAGCCATAGCCGAAGCTGAGGAAGCCCAACACGCTAACGAGGAGGCGGACAGCCTCTGCCGACACGTGTTTGGCCGTTGCAACGTCGATGGATTGCGAGTAGTCTCTGAGCCAGTTGCCTGTAGCCGTGTCAGCAGTAGTAGTCGTAGGAGGGCTCCGTTGAGAAGTGTTGAGAAGTATTGAGAAGACTGACCAAAGTAGACGCGCGAAAGCATGAGTTTGGAAAATTTCTTCCCCTTGAGGGTACGGGCCATGGCAATGGTAAGGAGCACATCTTCGATGTCTCCGTGGCGCCCTAGATGGAGGAAAATTGAAACTGTCAGCTTGGTCTTCCTTCGACTTCGGGAATGGCCATGGCCAACTTGACACAGCATACTATCCGCGGAGCAGGGGCATGAAGGAACGTACAGTTAACACCCTCAATCTTGGACAGACTGGAGATGTTACCGGCACCAAAAGCAGCGGCCGGCCGGGCTAGGCAGAGCAGGAGGACCAGCCCCGCCAGGAAGACGAAGGACCGTGACTCGAACATGACGCACAGTTCGTGTTGGTTCTCCCAGTGCTAATAGATATGCTGGTTTCTTCAATAGCTCCTATGCTTGGGCTTTCGTGTGGGATGATACCGTAGTAGCGGCTGGAGGGATATGGGAAGTTGAAATATAGGGTGGAGAGAGACGAAGAACTGGGCGAGTCGGAAGGGCCCTACGAAGTATAGATGAATAGGGACAGAAGCAAGTGGGAAAAGGTGCCGTAATCGTTAGTTTTATTGGCGAGACGGCGAGACGGCGGGACAAACCCGGGAGGGGAGAGCTATTTGTCCAGCATCATATATATCATGATGCTAGTAGCTATATGTACGAATAAGGTAGTGCGAGGGGCAGGGCTTCACGCCGTCCACCGCACGTTGAATATGGTCAGGGGAATGCGTACATTACGTTGTTCGTACTAGGGGGTAATTAATGGTGAGGGGTGATACGGTGAGACGACCTGAACTGGTCGCATTTTCAGCTTGGATTGGTTGGTGATAAACGTTGAACCGGGTACCAGCTTCACCCTACGTGTAGTAGTAGGTTTCAGCATGTGGAGAATCCATGTATAGATACTTTCTGCCTACCTTGCCTTGTGTACCTACCTACCTACCTTACCTTACCTTACCTTGCCTTAGGTAGGTACCGTAAAAAGTCGACAGTCACATGACGCAACCGACCCATGGATAGTACACTTAGAAAGCACAGCTGGAAATAACGCCCTCGGGGGAATTCTCCGCTTGAATGAGGCTCAGTCTGGTTCATTATCGCAGCTACCGAGACACTGCGTACGTTGTACATAAGACCGACAGAAACGCCTTCCAATCTGGTGCTGGACTCTCGACTCCTTGAGTGGCGCGTGAGGTCGTTCAATCAGTAAAACGCCACACTCTAAAGGCGTACTAGGTAGATGCAGACCAGCACACCGGTCCTGTTCACCCGTCTTGGTCTTCTCAGAATCTACGGAATTTTGGCATGTATCCAAAATACCGAGTACTTCGACATTCTTTTACGGAAGCTGCCGAGGACTCGATACAGACATTCGAGAGAAGTGCGGGGAGTGGTGTGGTAGTGGCCTTATATTTCAGGCGCCAGGTCCCTCGGTAGACGAAGCAAAGACGCGAATGGCGGTGCGTGCCACTAGCGTGTCAACCAACGAGTGCTGTTATAGTAGGCTCGTCGCAGCGCTTCCTAGTACAGTAGTTCTAGATTGGGGGATGCTCTAGTTGGGTTGCAAATCCTTTTAGGGGACAGAACTTGCAAGTCTCAAGGGAGCAGGGGAACCTTCTATGACCTACCAGGACGTACAGCGTAAGCGCGAATACAGCGAGGCTCAAGAGCTTTTCACGGCCCCGGTAACCTAACGGGACGGGACGGGGAGTGAAAAATACGATATGAAGTGCTTCGTATGCAACGTTAGTTTTAGAATAAAAAGCTGACCTACGAATCAAGTTGAAGCTGGCAGGGTAAGGAAATACCACTGGCAGCCGAGCCTTTTGGCCACTGAGGATAGATAGTGTCTGGAGATTTGGTGGGACACGCATTTCGTCGTCCTCGCAAAGCGACCATGGATGTGGCAGTGGCAGGCAACAGTGTTGCAGCCCGTTGTTTTGTTAGGACCACCACATTGGACGCAGCACTCTGTCTGGCCTGAAGGAGGTCTCGGGGGGATGGGGACAACCCTAGTTCGTACACACCCCTGTAATCACCAGTGCCACCCAGAAAAACAACACCCATACAAAATACACAAACACGCGCCTGCAAACGTCCTTAACAGCCACGATAATCTCAAAGTTATTGCCGTGACCGGTGAGTAGGTCAAGCCGAGACCGTTAATCATAAGTAGAAGAGCCTGCCATTTGAAATTGAAGCTCTGGCTCCAGCCCCAGCGCCAACGCGCAATGAACGTGGACGTGATCAAAGGCATGTGAGTCGAGGGCAACGCAACCGACACGAGTTGCTTCTAAGTATAGAAGACCGTTTCTTCTATAAGGTAGTGATATGATTGGAAATTATCTCGATGAGACGAAAATACCTCGAATATTACTTATCTCGGAGAGGAGCAGAGTCATACTAGCTATATAGAGGCGGTTAATATAGATACCTTACCCAGAGTAAGAGATTCACTTAGATATTTAGTAGGTTTACTGGAGTTACGGCGATGTAAATCGTGCAGGCGTGGCACGAGTGGCCTTCGTTCAAATAGGCTTGTAGGGTAAGGTAGGGACTTTCTTCTAGTTGGTAATAACCTGCGGTGCGACACGGCGATAATTCCAGGCGAGGGAATAGGCTGCCTAACCAGTGAAACCAGATCAGTAAGCGCTGGGTCAGCCAGGAATAAAGTCAGTAACCCCCTACTATATATACGAAGGGAATAACGTGTTTTCAATACCCACCCAAGGCGATAAAGCTACCTATCTACCTTACCTACCTTACCTTATCCGTGGCAGAAGGGCAGGGTAGGGGGAGGTAAGTACCTGCTATAGGTAGTACTTATTTAGGTAGCCTAAATAGAGCTATTTCCGCCCCGTAAGCAGTACCTAACAAAGCAAGTACCCCGTAACAGCACAATGCGCTATCCAGTACCCTCCCACCATAACTAAAGGAACTTAGCGGCCCTACTCTGTAGCATATTTTCTACTGATTTCCCATCACCCTAAAGCCCCGCCCGAGTGCCTAGCACTACAAAATCTGGCAGCCACCCACCTACGCCCCCTCCTATCCTCCCTTGTTTTCTCTCTTTCCCCGCCTCCGGTTACTCTTCACCATATAATTACTTGCTTTTTAGGCGCTTCACACCCTGAAAGCTGGCTCTTTTCGCCGTCTTCTCCGCCACGAATTACAGTCTTACAAGCTAGAACCCGCTATCACCACAGCGTCAAAGCAAACAACAACGCGTTCAAGGTCCTACGACCCCCACTAACCAGCTACAGGCCCCATCGGCAGCTTGCCTGGCTGGCCCGATTCATCCCCATTTCATCCCCAATCGCGCCCACTGCCAATACACCATGCCTCGCGTTTCTAAGAAAGCCGCCGAGGAGGCAAAGGCAAAGGCTGCCGCTGCCGCTGCCGCTGCCGCTGCCGCTACTGCGCCCGCGGTCGCTCCTGCGCCAGCACCTGTCATCGCACAAGCCCCTTCGGCTCCCATCCAGCAAGTGCCTTCGCATCCGCAGCAAATGGGCATCCCCCAGGGGACCCTTGGCCTCCACCCTACTCCTGTCCGACACATTGATCCCGAGGGTTTCATTCGAGTCCGCGACTCGGTAAGTCACTTCATCTCATTTTCCTCGCCGGAACAAAGTCCCTCTGCACCCGTCGTCATTCAACCAGGCCCGTCTTCACCTTCCTCCATCACGGACCCCATCCCCCTTCCGATATGTTATGGCTGTCATCTTTCCACCTTGAATACCATGAGCCATCCGGCGAGAGTATCGTGTGTGCTGTTATCACACCCCTCCCAAGGTCAGCCGACATGTATCAAGTCTTGTCAATTGTGTTGCCGGCCAAGAACTCCGAGAGGACCATGCTCTCTTTTTTTCCCTTTTTTTCTCTCTCAAGGCGTAATCTGTATTATTTTGGACGCGTCTATGATACGGGTCGCACCCCTTGTTTACGTCGCCACCCGTTTTGGAAATCGGCCGGGAGGCCACTCGGGTCACCCGGCGCTGCGGAGCTTGGCTCATACCTCACCTTCTGAACACCATAATCACATTGCGTTCAAATACACACTCTTACAGCTCATGCTAATTTTATGTAACGATTAGGTTCATCATCGCCTGCTCACCATCTTGGAGCTCATCAAATCTTTCTCCGTCGACTATTATCGCCAGACTAACTTGCTCCTTGGAGAAGCCTCAACTGAAATCCCTGGCATCGACGTACCCCTGGGCAACCTCGAGCATGCGGTCCAGAACATCGCGGCCATCCCAGGGTTGATGCAAAGTGCTGCGGAGTACGGTCCGCCCGCTGAGGAGAAGAAGGAGCGGAAGAAGCGCACACATGACCCCAATGCGCCCAAGCGGCCTTTGACGCCCTATTTCCTGTACATGCAGACGGCCCGTCCTATCATTGGCAACGACCTCGGACCTGATGCACCCAAGGGCGCCGTCCAGGAGGAAGGCCAGCGGCGCTGGAAGGCCATGGGCCAGGCTGAGAAGAATGTGAGTTGGCGCATGGCAACTGTCTTGTTTTCTCATCTCTTATCGTTGAGGGTCCCGGAGTTGGAGTGCTAACTGCTCGTCAGGGTTGGAACAACGCCTACCAGTACAATCTTCGGCTCTACCAGGCCCGCGTTCACTCCTACAAGCACGGCAACCCGGATGCCAAGCTCATGACTGATGAAGAGGCTCTTCAGTACGCCGACGCTAATGAGATTCCTCTCCCCCACCTTGAGGATGACACGGTTCCCGACGAGGAAGACGCGATCGCCGAACAGCTCCGGCAAGCCACGCCGGGTACCGAGGCGGAAGAGGTTGAAGAAGAAGAGGTGGAGGAGCCGCCCGCTCCTACCAAGACCCCCAAGAAGGCCAGCCGAAAGCGCAAGTCGGAGGCGGCCGAGTCGGAGCCTGCCAAGTCGACCCCTGCCGCGGCTGTGGCTTCTGCTGTTGCTACCCCCGATACGAAGAAGCGACGCCGTACCAGCAAGGCTATTGAAGCCGAGAGCACCAGGGAGGAGCCGGTCAAGAAGAGCCGAGCCAAGAAGGCCAAGAACTGATGCATGGCTGGGTGGTTTATCTTAACCACGCGGTCATGTCTTTTCTCTTTCTCTATTCCTTTTCAGTTGGTTGTGGGGGTTTTTCTTTTCTTTTTTCCTTTTTTCCCAGTCCAGCTTTTCAACGACAGATCTCCATCCAGCCGAGACGAAGCAGTAAGTCCAAGCAAAGAAGTCATGGACGCCTCGACGCCGCGATGAGGAAAGAAAGAAGGGGAAAAGAAGACGAATTTTGCGAGACCACTCCAGTCGTTCACGAGGTATCATCCTTCCCAAGAAGCAAAAGAAAAGAACCGGGGAGCACGCCCTGAGGGCTGAAAGCTACCGGCTTCTCCGAGGCTAGATGCTGAGGCCCTTAACTGAGGTCCGCGGGAGGCTGTGTGTACTGGGGGTATATAAATGGTCAATGGTCAATAGGATGGGTTCCCTCTTGCTGGTCAGGCGTGCGAGGTACGGGTCTCGGGGCAAAGGGCTACGGGCCACAGGGATGGAAAATGTGACCTAGTAATCGGCAAGGGGGGCAATACGGAAAAAAGGAAGGGAGTTGTCGGGCCAATTGTTCATGGTCGGCGGTTGGCCGATGAGACGTGAGGCCGGATTCTGGCACGACGAAGGCATGGGTCGTCTCTGGATGTATTATTGTAAGCTTGCTGCCCATTTGGGCCATTATGAAGACATGAATATTCTTGATCACTGAGAGGGACCAGAAAGCCAACCAACCAACGGAGAGTAGGAGCGTTCACATCTCCTTTGCTTGGCAGGACAATACGTGGGCGAAACGCACTAATTACTACCTATACCTACCTTAAGGTACGGTACTCTAAGGTGGGACGAATTCGGTTCTATCCGACCCGAACAGTTCCTTTGTATTCATTCACGTGGGAGTGTAACTGGATCGCATGGATTTCAACATTGGCGTGTTACTCTATCTTACAGGGGCGATATGATGTTGGTGGTATAACGTATTGCCCACTGTAGATGTCTGGGACTGAAAGGCTTCGAGATCCAATAATAAGGCACGGATCACTGCGACCTACAGTACCTCAGGTACCTAACCTTCAGTGGTACCTTACTCAAAGTACGGATACCGAGTAATACGTGTAATATGGTTGGTGCCTTCCTCCGTAAAGCAGGTACCTTATCTTTGACGTAGGTTCCAGGTTGACCTTGTGCGGGGCCACTGATAACGGGATTGAAGCTTCCATTCGGACGGGACATGCGACTTTCGCGTCCATTTCTCGAAGCAAATCGTCGAATTCCCGACTCATTCATCCCTCATCATCTTTCGGATCCAAGTCTTATGAGTAAAACGTAGCTCGTTACCTTACTCGATCTCATTTGTATCCCTTATTCAAGACAGAGAAGAGCTGTAGCTCTCTCTACTCTACCTATCCACTACGATGCGTCTCGTGCCGAGGGAGGTTCGTCGTCCGTCGTCCGTCGTCCGACTTGTGAACCCGTCACCGTGGAATTCAATTCACATCTCCACCTCCCTTCCCCCTTCCCTTCCCGCCTAGCATCGTCTCACGTAGGACCAGGCCTGCTAACACAAAAAGTCGTATCGTAGCTCGATAAGCTTGTTATATCTCAGCTAGGCTTCCTGGCTCAGCGTCGCCTTGCTCGAGGGGTTAGGCTCAATCACTCGGAAGCAGCGGTAATATCACCCACCCCACCCCTTGCCCCTCCATCCCGGCGTCCTTAATAAGGTACCTTATCAAGCCGGTACCTTCAATTGCCCAGTACATGTATTTTGTCCGTGAATTAACACACGTTCAACTCCTCCCTCTCCGGTGGTAGGCCCTTATCGCCAACAACTTACAAGAACTCATCCGAGATGGAAACCACAACGTTGCTGACCTGATGAGCATCGGCGCGACCATGCTGGGTCGGCGCCACGTCGAGCCGGCCGTCTGCACCACCCTAAAGTACATCATGGTTGAGGGTACCTTCCCGACCGGCACGTACCTTGTCACTGTGCACAACCCCATATCAAGCGATGATGGCAACCTGGACCGTGCCCTTTACGGCTACCTCCCTGCACCTCGCATGCCCACCAACGATGACTTCCCCCTTCACGCCCCCGAGGCCTTTGAGCCGACCGCCCAGCCGGGTGCCGTCGTGGCCGTGAAGGATGCCAAGATCACCCTCAACCCGGGCCGCAAGCGCATCAGGCTGCGCGTCACAAGCACCGGAGACCGCCCCATCCAGGTAGGAAGCCACTATCACTTCGTCGAGACGAACCCGCGACTCTCCTTCGACCGCGCCCGTGCCTACGGGTTTCGTCTCGACATCCCCGCGGGCACCTCGGTCCGCTTCGAGCCGGGCGATACCAAGACGGTTACTCTCGTGGAGATTGGTGGTAACCGTGTCATCCGCGGCGGCCACAACCTGGCCAGCGGTCCCGTCGATCTCAGCCGCGCCGGAGAGATTGTGCAGAAGCTGCAGGCGGCCGGCTTCGCCCACGCCCCCGAACCCGCGGGCGACATGGCGTTCATCAGCCCCTTCGAGATGGACCGTGCTGCCTACGCCGTCATGTTCGGTCCTACCACCGGCGACAGGTTACGTCTGGGGAACACGAACCTGTGGATCAAGGTCGAGAAGGATCTCTCTGACTATGGAGACGAATGCATCTTTGGCGGTGGGAAGACCCTGCGCGAAGGTATGGGTCAGGCCAGCGGCCGGAGGGACGAGGAGTCGCTCGACCTGGTGATCAGCAATGCCCTCATTCTGGACTGGACCGGCATTTACAAGGCGGATATCGGCGTCAAAGACGGCATCATCGTCGGCATCGGCAGGGCGGGAAACCCAGACGTCATGAACGGCGTGTCGGAGAACATGGTTGTTGGCAGCTGCACTGACGTCATCTCCATGGAAGGCAAGATCGTGACGGCTGGCGCCATCGATACCCATATTCATTTCATCTGCCCGCAACAGGCGGAGGAAGCCCTCAGCTCTGGCGTTACCACCTTGCTGGGCGGCGGGACGGGTCCCACGTAAGTATCCATCATCCATGACCCCTTCGACGGAGTAACCGGTAACAAGAGAGCGTTTACATAACGCGTAACGAACAGCTCTGGTTCGAATGCGACAACGTGTACCCCTGGTAAAAACAACATGCGTCAGATGCTTCAAGCTTGTGACTCGTTACCTGTCAACGTCGGTATCACGGGCAAGGGCAACGACAGTGGCCCCGAGGGCCTTCGAGAGCAGGTCGATGCCGGTGCCTGCGGTCTGAAGATCCACGAAGACTGGGGCGCAACTCCTGCGGCCATTGACGCCTGTCTCTCCGTCTGCGACGAGCTCGACGTTCAGTGCCTCATCCACACCGACACGCTGAACGAGTCGGGCTTCTTGGAGTCTACTGTTGGCGCTTTCAAGGGCCGCACCATCCACACCTACCATACCGAGGGTGCGGGCGGTGGCCATGCGCCAGACATCATCGCCGTTGTCGAACATCCCAACGTCCTCCCCTCGTCTACGAACCCGACGCGCCCCTACACCTCCAACACCCTCGACGAGCACCTCGACATGCTCATGGTCTGCCACCATCTTTCCAAGGATATCCCAGAGGACATTGCCTTCGCCGAGAGTCGCATCCGCGCCGAGACCATCGCGGCCGAGGACGTCCTGCACGACGTGGGCGCCATCAGTATGATGAGCTCCGACAGCCAGGCCATGGGCCGTTGCGGCGAAGTCGTCCTGCGCACCTGGAATACGGCGCACAAGAACAAGGAGCAGCGCGGAGTCCTCCCCGAGGACGAAGGCACTGACGCGGACAACTTCAGGGTCAAGCGCTACCTTAGCAAGTACACCATCAATCCGGCCATCGCGCAAGGATTCGGTCATCTGGTCGGCAGCATCGAAGTGGGCAAGTTGGCGGATCTGGTGATCTGGAATCCTGCTTGGTTCGGTACTAAACCGGACCTGGTGCTGAAGAGCGGCTTCGTTGCTTGGGCGCAAATGGTACGTCATCCCTTCTTCCATCCCACCCCCCCGGGGGCCTTCCCTGTCCATTTCGTGTGGAAAACTCGCCTAACCTACCTCCCACCTACGCAGGGCGACCCCAATGCCTCCATTCCAACCGTCGAGCCCCTGATCGGCCGTCCCATGTTCGCCCCTCGCGTGCCCTCCTCGTCGGTCCTGTTCGTCTCCGCGTCGTCCATCTCCTCCGGCGCCATCGCCTCCTATGGGCTGCAAAGCCGCGTCGAGCCTGTCCGTGGCTGTAGAAACATCGGCAAGCGCAATATGCGCTTCAACGATGTCATGCCGCGCATGCGCGTCGATCCCGAGCGGTTCGAGGTAGAGGCAGACGGGGAGATTTGCCGCGCCGAGCCGGCCGAGAAACTGCCCCTCACACAGTCGTACTTTGTCTTTTAAAAAGTTCGGACAGGCCCGAGTTTCTCTTGGAGATTTACCCATCTTCTTTTGCCATATGAAGTCTGCGCATGTCGACATTGCGGGAGAGGGGCAGACCTGATGTCTAACCCATATATGACCATGCCATCTACTGGATATTTCCTCTTAGTATGCGGATCAGCTGCCTGCCAGATTCGTGTGGATATTTCTGCTCATAACGGGAGACGAAGCATACAAGGTAGATACTGGAATATAAGTCACTTGAAGCCTTTGATTCACGAGGTGACCTCCACCCATCATGAAGTAATCCATGCATAATTCAACGCCGAACCCCTTTGATTGACCCAAACGCCGTACTTCCTCATCCCCCTAAAAGCCTCTAGGGGCATTGGGCGTCTGCCGGCAATTCTAGGTCAAAGATACCGACAGTCCCTGTGACCAGAGGATAGTTGAAACACCACCCCAATCCCTCTACCACGACTGCCCCCTCATAAAACGGCCGACAAAAGGGCCAGTGATGCAAAAGACGGGGAATAAAAGGTAAGAAAAAGACCGATGCAGGCCCATATACTCATACAAATCCAGCCTCGCGCCCCCCCCCTTCTGAACGTCATTCCTCCTCCACTTCATCATCCCACTGCTCCTTCTCCTTCTTGACCAAGGCCGCCATTTCGACAGGTTTGAAGATGGAGCTGTCCGGATTCGACACGCGCGGCACCTTACCGAGGTTCTCGTCATCAAAGACCGACCCAATGGTGCCGATCCAGCGCCTGCGGCGCTCCATGAGCGTGCGGGTGACGTCGCCGATACCGGGGCGCGCCATGCCCGCGGCCCCCTGGGCGGCAGCCACGGCGGCGCCGGCGCCGGCGCCGGGGCGCTTCGACTTCTTGCTCTTGCCCATGGTGCGGGTGCGCTTGGTGTAGGCGGCCTGGACCTGGGAGTCGAGGTCCTCGAGGATGGTCTGGTACTCCTGGTAGGCCATGCGCTCGCGCACGAGGTCGGCGAGGCGGGCCTTGCGGGCGCCGTTGACGAGGACCTGCTGGCGGAGGCGGTCCTGGAGGAGGCGCAGGCGGGCGGCCACCTCGTCGTCGAAGGCGCCGTCGAAGCCGAAGCCGAGCCCGAGCCCGGCCTCGAAGTTGTTGTTGCCTTCTTGCGGGAGGAAGCCCATGTGGCGCAGTTCCTGCTTGATGCGCTCGTCCACCTGGGCGTAGTCGAGTTTGGGGTGCGTGGCCTTCTTCCAGGTTTCCGAGCTGGACTCGGGCATGAAGGCCGCGGGGGGGGTCGCTTGTGGCTTGCCGTCTTCGGAGGCGCCGTTGAGGCCGCCGTGTTCGCCTGCGTCGCCGTTTGTCATGTGCGTGTCGCCCCCGACGCTGCCGCCGCCGCCGCCGTTGGCCACGCCGTTCGTGCCCGGCTTCTCTTCTTCGGACTGGGGCCTGTTCTCGCCCCGCTGCGTGGCTAGGAGGCGCGACAGCAGCGGGCCGACGGCGAGCTTGTCGGTCTCGCCCACCTCGTCGTCCATGTGCTCGATGCTGCCGCGGGCTTGGTTCGCCGGGAGGTGTTTCTCGCGGTTGAGTAGCGGCGAGTCGAGCTGCATCGCGCCGTCTTCCTCGGCCCATACTTCGGTGTAGTGCCTCTTGCCCCGGTTGGGTATGGTGAAGGGGAGGACGCGGTCACCGCGCTCGCGGAGGAAACCCAGGTCCTCTTCTGTAAAGGGTTTGAAGTACGGTTCAATGTAAGTGGAGAAGGTCGAGAAGCTGATCTGGTTGGAGGGTTTGGCGCTGCTGAAGTCTTTATCTGGAGGGTCTCCTGGGATGATATCGGCCAGGTCGTTCTTGGGATACACAGCGACAGAATAGATTTCTCTGAGTTCCTCTTCGGACATGCCGGGGTGAGTTGGTCGGATCTCGTACACGGTCGGGTCGGGGAAGGTAGAAGGGTCGTCTCCGAAGGTATTCGCAGCGGGGAGTGCTGGCCTGGGCGGTGCGCCTTCGTCTTCGGAACTTGATTCTTCCTCCCCCTCCTCCTTCTCCTCCTCCTTCTCCTCCTCCTTCTCCTCCTCCTCTTCCTCCTCCGGCTGCTCGACCTTCTCCTCTTCTTTGGCTTTCTTTTTCTTTCCTTCTAATTTTACGGCGCTTGGAGACGCGGGCTCGGCAGGAGAGAGGGAGGAGGCGGCCGACTCGGCTCGGGAGAGTTTACGGGTTTTGCTGTGATCTCGCAGGGGAGAGGAGCGTTCTGGTCGGGTGGGTTAGCATCGTAATGGGGTACTGTCTGTTTCGCGTTGGGGGGGAAAAAAAGGAAAAGAAAAGGGAAAGAAAAGGGAAAAAAAAAGGTAGCACACATACCTTTATGAACGACATCACCGGGAGCCAAGGTATCAGCAGCTTTCCTCTTCTTTTTGTTTGCGCGTTTCTGGCCCTCGTCCGCCCGTGAATGGTGGTCGCGTTCTGGCACATTATCAACATGGTGTTTCCGCTGCAAAGCCAGGTCGCGCATAGCCTTGTCGCAGAAGTTGGTTCTCCTGTCGATGACCTCCTGTAGGCGGGTCAACCTGGTGATCATGGCATCCATGTGTCTGGACTCGGGCACCAGAGAGGTGGGGTTGATCTGGTCGACGATGTCATCGTATCCGATATTGTCGAACTGCTCTACGCGCAGTGAGAGGTATTGGGCGTCGATGGCTTCTATTGGCGGTAGGGTCGCAGTGGCTGGGGGAGGGATGGAAAGAGGGACGGAACTCGGGGTGGTGTTTCTGCTGCGCTGTCGGATGGCGCCGGCGCCGCCCTTCTTGCTGGTGCCCTTCTGGCTCGGGGTAGGAGGCATAGTGACGGCGGGCGTCGGGGTTGTCGTCGGGGTTGTCGTCGGGGTCCGAGGATGACGTCGTAACTTGATTGATGGAGGATCGATGAGCAACCGGTTGCTTTACATGGGCGTCTCGACTATTCTTTGTTTCATGGTTCGAGATGCGATTGTGGCGACGAACTCCGTCTTTGACTTTGTTCAATGTTTGAGGGACGGATCGATGGGATTGATGGATGAAATTGATGGTTGCTGATGGTTGCTGATGGTTCCTGATGGTCGACTTGGGAGTGATGTTGTCGCGTCGCCGTTGCCGAGAGCGGCTAGTACAAGTCCGCCCAACAGGAACAGTGCATTTGTGGCTGGAGCATCTCCTGGGGGGATTAGTCAGATATCGGCGAGCACGGCATCTACACGTATGTACCTGTGGTCTACTCGCTTAGTAATGACCTAGGATTCTCCCTTGTTGAAGCAGGAACTACCCGTGCCACGCCCCACTTACTTTTGTTCGTTTGGCACTCACTCACCAGCTATACCTGTGTCCGAATCACCGTCGTCATGATCCCCCCAAAAGAACCCATTTTCGTTTCACCCATTTCACCCTTCACCCATTTCACCCACTTCACAGTGGTCAACTCGTCTCGGCGTCGCTCTTTCGTTTTCATCCAAGAGATCATCCACAATGCCGAATCATCTGAGCCGGGGCATTGAACCGAATTTACGAATTTACGAATACCTTTGCACAGACGAGTCGTAGCCCGAGTTCCATTCGCGGCTGGGGGCATGTGGTCAGAGGACAGGCCCTAATTGGTGATAATCCGCGACGATGCGAGCCTTCCAGACCAGGCGAACCAAAGTGCTCTCGGCATGTCCTCCTTACTTACTCCCTACGAGGCAACGGCACATACTGCATCGCATTCGCTCTGGTGTTTGACCCTTGGCGGCGTCTGAAAAAGAGCGGAGTCCAATTTACAGCTCACCCTCCCACCACCCCGTTCGTTCATTCATGGTCGGCCGTCTTGGGATTTCCCCGGCTATGGTCGGTTATCCAAATCCATGGTCTCGTCCAACATCTACCTATTCCATATCCACGATGCTGTCCATCCATGGTCCGTCCATTCATCCCGTTTCCAAAGCTTCGCCCATGTGCTCGAGCCATTGGTCCACACTCTCGGGTCCACGTCCACCAAGAAGACAACCACAGCCTGGTCACCCCCCACGACGCCATACCATGCCGAATGCAGTTTACGGCGGGGTATCGCCAAACCATGTGGTGGGGTAGCTTCTCCTGCAAGGACCAAGGGCCCATCCATCCTTACGAAGCACATCCCTCCATCGAATCGAGAGCTTTCGCAGCCCTGTCCACTAACGACTCTACCTATACTGTAGGTACCTTATTACTGAACCGACTCTCGTCGTTGGCGGTGTGTATTGCACTCAGCCCCTGCAGCATCTTCTCCTGCAGGGAGCGAGATGCTGTACCGAATAATCATAATTATTTATCTCTCGACACTTCCCACGTTCCATAGTAACCCCCCCTCTTGACCCCCCCTCCGTCTCTCGTTTTCCCTCATTCCGATCCCCTCTCAACTGGCCTCAACAGCCCCAAGTGCATTGATTTTTGCCTCAACGCATCCCTTTCGTGCTCAACCCATTGCAATGCGAGAGTACCATGGCTTCTCTTGGTGGTAACATGTCACCACTCGATCTCGGAACGAAAACCATCTTTGCCGGCATAGCCTTCGCTGCCATTGGTGGCGTCTGCTTTTCCAGACTCTTTCCTCAATCCTCCAGCAAGTCTGATGAAAGCGAAGGGAGCCCGGGGCTTCTCAAGGCTTTCCTGCTGTTTTTCTATTCCTGTTTCATCAAGCCACACGGAGGCGACAAGAAGGGCACCCAACAGGATGCTCTTGAGAGCTTCTACAAGAAGCAAGCCGGGGCCTATGATGCCACCAGGAAAGTTCTCCTCCAGGGCCGCGAGGATATGCTCGCGCTTTCTGCAGCTCAGCTGAAGGCGAAGGCCCAAGCCCGGCGGGAAGCTGGCGCCCGTGAGAACACCAGACGACTTTGGGTGGATGTATGTTTCCTCGTCCCTTCCTGTCCCACCCCTGCTTTTCGTCGTTGCCATTGGAGGGGAAGGGGAAAAAAAAGAAGAAGAAAAAAGGATCTAGACATGTTAACCAGTTCAATACCTCTAGGTTGGTGGAGGCACGGGATGGAACATCGAGGCCATGTCGGCCCATGTTAACGTGCCCGACTTCTTCTCCAGCGTCTACCTCGTCGATTTCTCCCCCTCTCTCTGCGAGGTGGCGCGAAAGCGTTTCCAGAGATTGGGCTGGACCAACGTCAAGGTCATCTGCGAAGATGCGAGGAAGTTCCGTCTGGAGGACCACGAAAATGATCTCCCTGGCGGCAATATCACTCCACTCCAGACTCCGGCCCTGAGTTACTTCTCCCAGAAACGCCCCGAGCACGGTGTTGCCGACCTTGTCACCATGTCGTACAGCTTGTCCATGATGGTGAGTGCATTGGATCTTGGGAGGAGGGAACGGAGATAAAAACCTCAACCAACCCCGCTTGCTTTCCCCCCCGCCCCAGACGGACCCTGCCAGCTAACCGTGTCCGTTTTGTGGGCAGCCGGATTTCCACTCCGTCATCGACTCCTTGTCTTCCCTTCTCTCGCCGGACGGTGTCTTGGGCGTTGTCGACTTCTACGTCCAGTCCCAGACTGACTTCGCCTTCCGCAATTTCACCGCTGGTCTCGCCAACCGTCACGTCAACTGGTTCTCCCGGACGTTCTGGCGCGCCTGGTTTGACATTGACCGCGTTGGCCTCGAGGCCGCTCGGAGAGACTATCTCGAATACAAATTCGGCACTATCCTCGGCGTCAACGCCCGCAACCGCACGCTCGGTCGAATCCCTTACTACATCTGGATCGGCTGCCATAAGAAACCCTTCTCCGCGTCGGCCCTCCCCCACGAGATCATCGAAAAGATCGATGCCCTCGCCACCGAATCGCCTCTCCTTTACCCCGTGAACCAGCGTGACGCCCTCACCCGAGCCATTGAAAACTCGGCTCCCGAGATGCGCTCCAAAGCATTCATGACTGCCATCCAGAATCTCAATGCGAATCTGCCCTTGCCGTCGTTCTTCTACCAAAATCACCACTGGCGCATTTACTACGACGACCAGCTGCAGAAGCACAGGCAGTTCAACGACGAGTACATCTACGCCTTTACGTGGGAGGACTCTCGCGTTGATGAGCGACTCCTGAAACTCGGCCCCGACGATGTTGTGCTCGCCATCACCAGCGCCGGTGACAACATCCTGTCATACGCCATGCAGAGCCCTGCGCGGATCCACGCCGTAGACCTGAATCCTTCCCAGAACCATCTCCTCGAGCTCAAGGTTGCCTCGTACTGCGCCCTCCCCTACGAGGACTTTTGGAGGCTTTTCGGCGACGGCAAGCATCCGGACTTCCGTTCTCTACTCGTTTCCAAACTGTCCCCGCACCTGTCATCGCGCGCCTTCCAGTACTGGCTCCAGAACGTCCACGTCTTCGCCAACACGGGCGGCTACGGCCTGTACGACACGGGTGGCTCCCGTCACGCCATCCGCGTCTTCCGCTGGCTCACGCGCATCTTCGGCATCGTGGCCGCTACGCAGGAATTCCTTTCCACCCGCACGCTCAACGAGCAACGCGAGGTTTGGCGTTCCAGAATTCGGCCCGCCCTCCTCTCCCAGCTTCTGTGCAATGTCGTCGTCTCGCAGGAGTCCTTCCTCTGGTCCGCCCTCGGCGTCCCCAAGAACCAGCTCGCCATGATCGAGGCCGACCACGCCCAGTCCGCGGCCGTCAAGGGGCCGAAACCTACAGCGAAGAACACCCGCTCCCACGCCATTTTGCGGTACATGATCGACACGCTGGACCCCGTCGCCGAGCAGACGCACGTCGCGACCGACAACCCTTACTACCACGTCTGCATGACTGCAAACTTCACCCCGCGCTGCCACCCGGACTACCTCTCCAAGGCGGCCCACGCCCGCCTCTCCCGGCCCGGCGCCCTCGACGGCCTGCGCATCCACACCGACGAGCTCAACGAGGTCATCTCCCGCATCACACCAGGCACCCTCACCGTCGCCGTCATCATGGATAGCATGGACTGGTTCGACCCGGCGCCCCCCGCCGCGGCGGCGGCGGCGCAGATCTGCAAGCTCAACCGTGCCCTCCGCGAGGGGGGCCGCGTCCTCCTCCGGTCCTCCGCCCTCCGCCCCTGGTACGTCGCCGAGTTTGAGGCCCGCGGGTTCACGGGTAAGCGGGTCGGGGCTCGCGAGAACGGCGCTTGCATCGACCGCGTCAACATGTATGCGTCGTGCTGGATCCTGACCAAGACGGAGAACTTGCCCCCTCCGACTCCGACTCCGGAGCTGGACCAGCCTGGCTTGGGCGCTGTGACCAGCTTCTCCTTGTGAACGATCGAATAGCGGAAGCTCGTTTTCATTTGCAGTGATGGGTCGGGTTAGCTGCCAAGATGGGAAGTGGCCAAGAAAAGAAAGAAAAAAAGAAAAGAAAAGAACAGCGGGTGTGGTGACCCAATCCTAGATTGCCCCTTGAGGGCCTGAGAAAATAATACGGAAAGATGAGACCAATAGAGGCTTCGTTTGGTGTTGTAAGGAGATATTAACTTGTATATGTCCCGATCCTGAATTGTTGTCAGTGTAAGTTGAAACTTGTGACATTGTTGATAATCATGTGCTTAATTAAGTAAAAGACCACCTGATCCTTAAAATCCCCCCCGGTATCTTCGTACGTCTTCAGAATCACAAGGTCGCGGATGGTTAAGGAAATCCCATCCTGCTAGCACGATAACCTGTGTCTGCGTGTACGGCTCGAGCCCTGACCCCCGGTCCTCTTAGACTGGGATGCGGTCGCCTTGAACTGGACGACCCGTAACCCCCCCAAGCACGTCAGGTTTCGTAAGATGGAGCGTCGCATGAGCGAAGAGCGAGCTGGAGGGCAAGGTGAAAATCCGCAGTGTCGTTGGATCAAACCATCTCTGTCAGTAGGAAAGAAAAGAAAAAATGAACATGACGAGCCGTCGAAGTGTGTCACAACAAGAATAACAACAACAACAGCAACAAAAAAATATCGACTTCCATTGGTCCTATGCTGGTAAGTGTACACGGCCTTCTTTCAAGCGAAGCTCGCCAGCCGAACAGATCTTTCCGCACCGCACCGCACCGCTCGTTTTCCCTTCCCATCCCATTCTGTTTCTGCCAATTGTTTTTTTTTTCTTTTTCCGTCTTCTATGCGGTCCACACCCTCCTGATGGCCTCGGTGACACCGACATCGTTGGTCTCGAATTCGTACAGACCCAGGCCGACGAGGGCGGTGGCCAGGTTCAAGCCCCACGTGGAGATCTTCCGGGCGGTGGGGAAGCGCTTGGCGGGGACGTAGTCGACGATGATGGTCTGGAAGCCGAGGTGCGAGTGCACCAGGATGGCGGCGCACAGGACGGCGTCGAGGGTGGGGTTGAGGGAGCCGGCGGCGAAGGGGGTCAGGGTGAGGGGCACCAGGCTGCCGGCGAGGAGGCGCTCGAAGGTCCAGTGGTAGGAGCCGTGGGACGGGCTCGGGTCGGGGATGGGGACGGGGTCGTTGACTGGTAGTAGCCTGCTGCGTTAGAAAAGATCGAGAGGGGAGGGGAGGGTTTAATTCGGGGGTCGTTGTGTTTCGTACCTCCTCCTTGGATGACCTCTGCGATACTGTTAGCTCTCCAGTTCATTTCAAGCGAGACGACGAGACGGCCGTCGGCTCAGGTGAAAGAGCACATGGAGCGGAGGATGGAAAACGTACGGGGCGGCGGGGGAAGAATATCTCTCTTGCTTGTGGTATGGAATGCTGATGCCCTGATGGCGTTGCTCATCACCTCCTTCTGAATGGCGGGCCGAAAGGCAGAGCGGATGGCAGGGGTCTTGACCATGCGCGCCGCCATGGCAGTCGGGCGCAGCACAGCTGGTCGCATAATCGAGGCCATGATTGCGCAATTGACGTCCTGGCTTGTGGTCGGGGGGGTTGAGGCTCGTTTTTCTGGGACGGATGTGAATGATGCAAATGATTCGGCTGCCGGAGTTGGGAAAGCACGAGGAACACGAACGGCGGATTTGCCGAGGATCTGAATTACGACTTGTGTGATTGGCTGGATCGTTCCGATACGGGGGGTTCTCTCATGAGGTCGATTTTTCCACGTGACTAGGCGCCTGACTTACTTTCCGTCCCGCCGGCTCATATCCGACGTACCTACCCCCAGGACAAGGTAACGCGACGCCATGTCGATAAGATAAGCATCAGGGTCCATTGGGCTCAACATGGATTTTTTGGAGCTTCGACTTCTCCGAGTTGACAGGCGCATCTGACGAACTGCTGGCGAATTTCCCTACCAGAGTCAAACTATTGACTATTTCTTTTTCTTTTCATTTCGTGCTGTTTCTACTAATATGACTTGATTCAATAACAGGTCCAGCTGGATTGCTAATCTTCATACCAGGACCCCGATTTCCCTTCCCACCTTCCTACCCCCCCTACCACCATGTCGCAAGCTTTACAATCCAAGGGTCCGGCGTTACAACGCGGCATCTGGCGCGCATGTTGCCATTCTCAACTTACCTCGTCAGGCAATACGTCGAGATGGATTCATCTAAAGACATTGAAGAAACGCGAAGATGCCGCGAAACAATGGGATGAGCGAGCCGAAGCCATCTTGAGAGGGGAGGCGAGAAACCTCTGGGACATATTCGAAGAGCGTGGCTTCATCAAAGACGTTGCAGGGTTCGTGGTGCCTTTATTCGTTTTGTTGTTGTTGGTGATTATGTGTCCTCTCCCTGCTGACTTCTGACTTGCTTTTTCCTTCCTTCCACCAGACGTCCCGAGTCGATCAAAGAGCTCATGAGAACCAAGCGAATCGGCGCATACGTTGGCGTCGACCCCACGGCGCCGTCCCTCCATCTTGGGCATCTCCTCCCCATGATGCCGGTCTTCTGGATGTACTTGCACGGTTACCGAGCCGTGACCTTGATCGGCGGCGCCACGGCTAGGATAGGCGATCCCACCGGACGGCTGCAGTCGCGAGAGACCATGTCGAACAGCGAGATCGCCACCAACATCACGAGGATACACTACCAAATGAAAAAGCTGTGGACCAATGTCGAAGCGGAGAAGCACAAGTACGGTTACCAGAGGACCTGGGACATGTCGCGGCACCTTGTCAACAACAACACATGGTGGCAGAGCCTGTCATTATACGACGTTATGAAGAGGCTAGGCCGCTATGTGAGGATGGGCCCGATGCTGTCGCGTGACACGTAGGTCTTTGCGCCCCCAACCGTGTATGACAAATCTTGGTCCTAACTCGCTTTTTCATTTTCTTTCATAAGTGTCAAGAACAAGATGGAAAAGGGCGACGGCATGTCCGTGGCCGAGTTCATGTACCCCCTCATGCAGGGCTGGGACTGGTGGCATATGTACTCCAAACTCGGCGTCCAAATGCAGGTCGGCGGGTCGGATCAGTACGGGAATATCGTCACGGGCATCGAGTCCATCAAGACCATCCGCGCGTCTGAGACGGCAGAGCATCTGAAAATCGCCGAGACCTGGAAAGACGACCCCATCGGCTTCACCGTGCCGCTCCTCACAGACGGCGCGGGCACCAAGTTCGGCAAGACCGCCGGCAATGCCATTTGGCTGGACCCGACCATGACCAGCGCCTTCAGCCTGTACGGCTATCTCGTGCGGAGGCCCGACGACGAGGTCGAGCAGCTCCTCAAGTACTTCACCTTCATGCCCGTTCCGGACATCACCAAGTTGATGGAGGAGCACGGCCAAGACCCGCCCAAGCGAGTCGCGCAGCACAAGCTCGCTTTCGAGGTCCTGGCCCTCGTCCACGGCGCCGAGGTGGCCACCCGCGAGCAGCACCAGCATCGCCTGATGTACAGCAAGGGCGGGGCCGCCGCGGTACCCGTACCCACAGGCGACCCGTCGGAATACCAGGCCGCCGACGGCCGACCCGTGACGCCCAACAACGCGCCCCGCATGGACATGCAGCTGCCGCGCTCCGTGCTGTCCATGAGCCCGGCCAAGATCCTCCACGCCACGGGGCTGGCCGCCAGCACGAGCGAAGGGCACCGCATCCTGGCCCAGTCCGGCGCCTACGTGGCCGCCCGGCCGGGCGACAGCATGCGGGAGCTGATCCCGGGCAACCTGGACTGGACGCCGATGAAGCTCTGGCAGCCGCAGGCGGTGCAGACGTTCCTCATCGACGGCCGCGTGCTGATCCTGCGCAAGGGCAAGCACAACGTGCGCATCATCGAAATGGTCAGCGATGAGGAGTGGAAGGCCTCCGGGAAGACGTACCCGGGCGAGCCCGGCACGGGCAAGACCCGCCAGGCCATGGCGGTGCTGCGGGAGCTCGCCGAGGCGGAGGGCAAGACGCTTTCGCAGAAGGAGCTCTACCGGCTCGCGCAGGAGAAGCTGGCCGCGGAGGAGGAGACGACGGTGGTGAACAACCCGGACATTCGGTTCCCGAACAAGCTGGAGAGGATGAAGGTGTTGGGCGAGTTGAAGCCAAAGGGGAAGTAGAGTAGCCCCCAGAGGCGGGAAGAGAGGACGACGACGCTGTACAACAAAGTAAAAAAATCCATGTACCATAGAAAATGTAGTAGACACAACTTAGCCACCCCCGTTGAACGCCTTGTACATTTGTTCATGGAGCGGTGCCCTGCTCAGAATAATAAGAGCATATCCTTGCCTTTTCCCAAGTGGTATGATTCATCCGTCGTATGTTGTATGTCGTATGCCCTCTCGTCACCAACCCCGTCACCCGCGGCCTACCGATAGAACACGGTCAAATCCCCGTTCGGCAGAGGGAGATGCTTCAACCTCTCCATAATCTCAGCATCAGACAAGTTCTGCTCGGTGATGATCTGATCGAAAGAATGACATCCATCCGTGTACTTCTGCAACGGATCCCCCCCGGCGGGCCTCGCCTGGCCCGTGGCCAGGGCAGCGAGATACTGCTTGCTAACGACGTACTTGTGCACGCGGTAAAGACACCCCTTGATGACGCCAAACTGGACCAGCCTGCGCACATCGACGAAGCGGAGGACGTCGAAGCCGTCCTCTTGGTGGCCGCGGATCCACTCCATGACGCTCTTGCCGACGCAGAAGGAGGTCATGAGGCGGACGAGGCGGAAGCGGGGCACCTTGACGGGCCCGCAGGAGACGTAGGCGGCGCACTCGTCCTGCATGCCGTCGGCGTCGGCGACGAAGTCGTGGATGCCGTGGGCGCGGGGCGCGTAGCAGGAGCCGAAGAAGAAGAGGTCCAGCAGCAGGATGACGTCGTAGCGGAGCAGGTGGCGGAGGGCGAGGGTGGCGAGGTCGAGCGACACGTCGGCCTGGAAGGCGATGCGGCGCACGTCCGACACGCCGTCGATGTGGGCGATGACTTTTTGGAGCGTCAGGTCCCAGGTCGGGTCGACGAGGGAGGCGAGCTTTGTTTTGGCGACGGGGACGTGCCAGCCTTTGACGAGGGGGGGCGGGGGGTGGTGGGGGAAGAGCTTCATGTTGATTGTGTTTGCGTCGTCTGGAGAGAGTCAGAGAAGAAGAGAAAAGGCGGAGGGGGAGGGGGAGGGGGAAAAGAACGCACCGACAGGAATCATGCACTCCCCGTAGTTATTCAGGTCCTCCCTCACAATCTCCAGCAAGCTCTCTATCGGCCTCCTCTCACCACCCACCTTTTTAACCCCTCCCACAATGGCCTTCTCCTCCCCTGCACAAGTGCTGCTGCCAGCACCCGCACCAGCACCAGCGCCACCACCCCCAGCCCCAGCCCCACCGCGGTAGCAGCCGCCGAGCCCATAGCCGCGCCGGCTCCAGTCCTCCGTCTCCTGCTGGCTCAGATACTCGTCCTGCTTCTCCATCTCGGCAAAAGTAACGGCGAGCCGCCGCACCACGCGCTCGTACGAAGCCTGCTCGGCGTCGGCATCGAGCACGAGACCGAAATTGAAGATGAACTCGTTGCGCGGGTACTTGGCGTGCGTGATCAGGACGGGGAACCCCAGCACGGCGTAGCGGCCTTCCGGGTCCTGCACGGTGATGAAGCGGTTGCAGAAGGCCTTGCGCGGGATGATGTACTCCCGCAGCACGTCGAAGTCAATCAGCGGCGGCTTGGGGGCCGGTGCCGGTGCCGGTGCCGTCGTCGTCGCCCCGGTGGTGGTCGGGGCTGTGGGAGAGAGGGCTTGGTTGTTTGATGACGAGACGGAGGTGGGGGTTACGATGCAGTCCGGCGGAGACTGGGCGACTATCTTGGGGCCTGGGGGACGATTGTCAGTTCTCTTCTTTGTGTTCAGCATCTCCATAACGACGAGAAGGAGATGAAGACGAATCGAGGATTGACCATCATCCATCACATCATCCGGCCAACTTGCCTTGCTGTAGTAAGAACCGCGCGTAAAAGATTCCCTGGATCATGATAACTGCATATTTTAACCGTCTTGGAAGTGCTTTCACCGAATATTTCGACTGATACGTGTATGAATTATGAAGTCGGTAGATGAGTTGATGAAGAAGAATGGGATGAGGTGAAGTAAAGGGAAAGGAAAGGAAAGGGAAGGGAAAGGGCGAGGGGACTTGTATGGAATGGACGAGTTTCGGTGTGTGGGCGAACGACCAATCCGAACAATTCTGGTTGGCTCACCGACTCGGTGAAGTCGGTCACGCCCTATATTCGTATTCGTAAGGTAAGGAGGTACTCTTCAAACTCGGACACCATCCTTGACAGTACCACATGCGTCCCCGTAAGTAAGGTAGGTAGTAATAGTAGCAAAAGGCAGTTCCGCATATTCTCTTACTCTGTACACAGGTTCAAGAGCAAGTCGTCGATAGAAAGGAAAAAAAGTGTCAAGGTCGACTGTCCATCCCCATCGAGCATGCATCAGGCAGGGGTCATAATAGCTCATATCGATTCATGACCTACGTGCCTCTCGCGACATTCCTTACGGAAATCTTCATCCTTAGGTCGCCTGCCCTCAAGAAGGAGAACCAAGAAAGAAAGGAGACGGAGAAGGAGAAGGCGAAGAAGAAGAAGAAAAAAGTATGTACACATCCCTGGCTGCATAGACTTCTGTGCCACCTTCTGCTACCCTTCAGTCTGTTCTATTATGCGCCTCCTGGCATCAGAAAAGTGAAAAAAAAGCAAGACAAAAGTTTGGAGGCCAATTTCGTGTGTGGTCGTCATCTCTTTATGATCCACCGAGCAAATGCTCAACCGCGCCCTGGACACTGCCACCACTACGACGCAGGGCCGCCACGTTCCTGTCAAAGTCGTAAAACCCCATGTCGTTGAGCTGACGCAGCTGCTCCGCGTACCGCTCCTCGGGGGGCCGGTTGTCCGGCGGGGACGCGGGGCTGGCGGCACCGCCCAGCCCACCACCGAAACCGAAACCGCCGCCGCCGCCCCCGCCGCCGAGACCCCACAAGCCGATGGCCTGCTGCATCATCTCCGGCGTAATCTGCCCAAACGGATTCGCGGGCTGTCCCTGGCCCTGGTTTTGAGCCTGCGCGGTGTTGGGAGGAGGGGCAAAGAGGGCCGCGAAGGGGTTCGCGGGAGGCGGGCTCTGCGAGGTTGTGTTCGCGGCGGGGGTGCCCGTTGTTCCTGTTCCTGCTGTCGTTCCCGAGGAGCCCTGGGCGTCGTCGGCCCCAGGAGAGGCGCCGGGAGCGGCGGCGGCTGGAGCAGCACCGGCTCCCTGAGCTCCAAGCAACGCGTTGAGGCTGTTCAGCTGGGCCAGGATGGAGTTTATATCTCCTCCTCCTCCTCCTCCTCCGCCAGGGAAAGCAGGCATAGGCGGGAAAGCAAAGGGGTTTGGAGGCTGGTTATTATTACTGTTATTGTTGTTGTTGTCGGTATTGGTGTCGTTTCCGCTGGCGGCAGCGTCGGCGGGGGTGGTGTCAGTAGCACCGGGGGCGGGGAAAGGGGAGGCGCCCTGGCCGCCCATCATGTTGCGTTGCATGCGCATGACATTGCGCAGCATGTCGGGGTTGGTCATCATCTGGCGCATAAAGGGCGACTGGATGATTTCGCGGGCGTTGGGCATGTTGCGGAGCTGCGGGTTGCTCTGAATCATGTAGTCGATGAACTGGGGGTTGTCGAGGGCGGCGTTCATGGTCTGCATCATGGTGGGGTCGGAGAGCATCTGGGCCATCTGGTCATCCGAGGGAGGAGCGCCCATCTATGGTAATGGTTGAGCTGAGGTTAGCATAGGAAGAAGGAAAGAATGAAATAAAAGAAGAAAATAGAACAAGGAAAACAAAAAGGTAAACCTACTCCACCGTCGGCGCCAAACATCTCCCGGCTGGGCAGGTTGATGTGACCGGCGTAGCGAGCGCCGGTTAGACCGGCAAGAGGATTGTTGGCGACGCCGGCAGCCATATTCGTAGGGATGGCAGACGGGGTCGAGGAGCGGGCTGGGCCGGCGGAGGAGGAGGCCGACTGCGGGGTGGGGTTGGAAGCGGCCGACTTGACCATGTGGATGGTGTTGTTGGGCTTGATCTTGTACGATTCGAGCGTGTCGTCGTTCTTCATGACGCGGCCCGAGTAGATAAGGCGCTGGCGCTCGACGGGGACGTTCTCCAAGTCTTCACCGGCGAGTCTGTTCTTCAGCTCAAGGACAGTTGCCGCCTCGGACATGGTCAACGTATGGACTTTGTCGCCTCCCGTCTTCACCTTGAAGGTGATCTGGGCCTCGCCGGCGCCCTCAGCATTGTCCGCCATGATCCCCAGTTGAAGAGATGACGTTGCAGAGATTGAGAATGCTGGTGGTTCTGCTAGTTTCAATTGTGTCCGGCGAAAGCAAGGTAATGTACGGTATTTTGGCACCGGTGGACAGATGCTGGTGTGACGATGTAGGTGTGACGCTGGCGGCAGCGGTGGTTGGTGGGTGACGGGTGGGAGGTGGGAGGTAGTGGGTTGTGGGTGGTGGGTGGTGAGAGGTCGGAGGTCGGAGGTCAGCGGTAATAATACCTAAGGTACCTTAGGCAAGTACTCCGTAAGTGGGACCCGTGGGAGGTCGTTGGTGTGGGCGAATTATTAGCGTCGAGCTACCTAGCGACTTTTAACCCAGGTTATCGATATACTAGGAAGAGAACCTGGTGCCGGGAAGTTCGTGAGTGCCTGCCACTAGATATTTGTTGAGATTGAGAGATTAAGAGCCTGTACCGCAGCATTTACAAAAGAAGGAGAAAGACGTACGCGGAATGATGCAAAGTCCGAGAGTGAAAGCGGAGGGGTCCGCTGTGCAGGTATCAGTGATAACAAGTACATGATGACATAAGAAAAGTATATGTTTTCGAAGTACCTAGGTAAGGTAAGATAGACTTCCGCACCGTTATCCGTGGACCCTGGAATTGGCGGTGCTTAGGTACCTGAACTAGGTATCGCCAAGTTGCCTCTTTCCTTTTGTTTCCAAGTGCTTCTCCGTCATTGATTTCGCTCACCCTTCCCCATTTGGATAGGTAATGCCGTATGTAATCCTTCTATCCACTCAAGCTTAATGCCACGCCTAAGGTAAATCATCATATGTGACGAGCAGTGATAAAAGTCGGCAGTCTGTTCATTGCAGACATCACTGTCCAGTCGGTATTTGGTCGCCTGAGAAAGTCCTGGTCATTAGGATTAAAAAAGAAGAAAAAAAAAGAAAAGAAAAAAAAGGCGGGAAACCCGAAAACGGAAACGGAAACGAAAACGAAAAGCAAATCAAGAAGAGTATAAAGAAACCCAGACAAGGGAAAAAGGGAAGAGAAAGAACGACGAACGCCTCTAGTCATCTCACCACCATTTTTCAACTGAAATTCTCTTAATAAGAACAGTAGAACTTCACAACCACTTCATTCAACACAAAGTGACTGGGAAGATTGAGATTTAATATGTCTCTCCGCCCTCCAGACGCCGGCTAAGCGGTCGGTGCCAATGCCGACCTCTGGGTTCGGAGTCGGCCCTCATTCGCTCTTTGCCCGGTCTCACTTTTTGGATTAGTGATATGCGGGGAAGACCCGGTGCCTCGGCTGCAAGCTAAGGGGTTAAGGTGTCCTGTCCCTATGTCACTGACCTACGAGACCGGCCGGGGAAGATACAGCACCTGAACACTTCCCCTGTGCTTCTCCTACTCCTATACAAATTCCATACCGCCTACGTACCTTTACCTTATAACGTACCTTATAATACGAACTGCATCAGACATCATATTCGTACTCTATCAAATTCTTCACTTCCCCGTAGACATTCTTTACTTGGTGACTCTCGCAACACATCGCATCGACTTAAAAAGGCGGTGTCTTCCCTTCCACTCTTCACATATCCACCTCCTACTACCTACCCAGAGTCTCACACCATGAAAGCCATCCAACTCAAGCAATATGTCAAGGTGAGAGAAGTCATCGAGCTTCACATACAAAGACAGCTCATATCTGCCATTCCACACTGACACATCTCCCCCCTATCTCTCAGTCTCCCAAGGAGCTCAGGATCTCGGATATACCTGATCCGACCCCGAAACCCGACGAGTACCTCATCCAAGTCCATGCCGCAGCAACCAATTTCTTCGATATACTCCAGATCCAAGGAAAATATCAGAACCAACCTCGTAAGTTTGCAGATGCATGTACCCTTCCGTCTTCTCTCCCAAAACAAAACGGCTCCTCCTCTGACCATGAGACTGACCTATTCCCACCAGCCTTTCCCTGGGTGGCCGGCGCCGAGTTCGCCGGTATCGTCCTCAAGACCCCCTCCTCCTCCGCCTCTCCCAAATTCCCCGTAGGCTCGCGCGTCTTCGGCGCAACCCAGGGTGCTTTCGCCACCAAATGCCTCGCGAAAGAGGTGTCTCTCCTCCCCATCCCCGACGGCTGGTCTTTCCAAGAAGGAGCCGGCCTTTTCGTCACCGCCCCTACCAGCTACGGAGCTCTCGTCCTTCGTGCCGGCATTCAGCCCGGTGACTATGTCCTCGTCCACGCCGCAGCTGGCGGTGTTGGCCTGGCCGCCGTTCAAGGTACTTACTAAACAACCCTTTTCCCACACATGCACTTACCAACCCCCTCCAGTCGCCAAAGCCTTCGGCGCAACCGTCATAGCAACCGCCTCCACCCCCCGCAAGCGCGAGATCGCCCTCTCCTACGGCGCCTCCCACGCCCTCGACCCCGCCTCCCCGACCTGGCCGCAGGACGTCCGCGCCCTGACCCCCGGCAAGCGCGGCGTCGACATCGTCTACGACCCCGTCGGCGCCGTCGACGCCTCCACCAAGTGCACCGCCTGGAACGGCCGCATCCTCGTCGTCGGCTTCGCCGCCGGCACCATCGAGAAGGTCGCCATGAACAAGGTCCTCCTCAAGAACATCGCCCTCGTCGGCATCCACTGGGGCCAGTACGCCGTGCACGAGCCCGACGCCGTCGTCGCCGTCTGGGAGGGCATCATGAAGCTGGTGAAGGAGGGAAAGCTGCGCGGGACCGAGTTCACGGACCGCTCCTTTGCTGGGCTGGAGTCCGTCCCTGATGCGCTCGTCGCCCTTGGCAGTAGGGCTACCTGGGGGAAGGTCGTTGTCCGCGTCCCGCAGGATGATGGCAAGAGCAGGCTCTGAGGGGGGTCGGGCCCATGTTATTCCATGTAGATATCTAATATATATCCCCGGAAAGTTGGAATGAATGACTGTGCATGTTTCCACTCCCCTTAACCACAAGGAGGAAATGGAGTGCTGCGCGCCGCCCCCTCCCGCAACGCTGACACCCAGCTACTTGGACATTTCGTGCCTCTGTATTAAAGAGCTATCTGTAAGAATGGGGGTATGTATGGCTCGCTAGCTTCATCACGTCGTGTCTGTCCATCTGGGGGAGTAGAGTGGCCCCCCCCCCCGCTGCTCACGAAACCCCAACGTATCGGGAAAACCTCTGCACAACATCCTTGTCGACATTGACCAGCCAGTCCTCCTGGAACTTCTGCTCTCCTCCCGCCCGCTGCACGAGATCCTGCAACCTCTCCCGCACGAAACGTTTCGCAACAATGCGGTGAACCGGGTCGTTCTCAGCCAGCTCCCGCTCGCGCAGGCTACGAGGCGTGTCGTACTCGGAAGGTCCCAAAGCCTCCCAAATCAGGCAGTCCTCGCCATCCACCACACCCCCCTGGAGTTCCGCCACCGTGTCCGCCCAGAGCGCGAGGTAGTCCTGCAGTTTGCCGAGCACAAGGTCCTGCACCGGATGCGGCAGCTCGGCCAGCCGCGTGAGCCCGAGGAGCGTCAGTTTCCTGTGTTCCGCGAGGTCCCAGGACTCCATGTACGCGAACCACTCGCCCGCCAGCCACGGCCAGACCTGCTGGTCCAGGGACCCAAACGACGCGAGCACGTTGACGAAGAGCGTGGGGTCGGCCAGCGCGAGGCGCGCCAGGATGGCGAAATAGTCGCCCTCGGTGACCACGTTGATTTGGGGGACTTTCCTGTTGGGACCGGTCGTCTGACGGGCCTCCCATGCGTCGTGTAGTCGCTCCAGGATCTTGTTAAAAAAGCCGGTTTCGAGCATGTCCTGGACGACAACGGAAACCCCGTCGGTCCCGCCAAGCTGTTCGGCGGCACGGATGATGTATTCGATGCACCGTGTGGCCGTTTTGGCCTGCTCTCTGCTCTTCGCCTCCATGGCACCCGAGAGAGCAGCGAGGAATGGGCGCCTGAGATGGTCTCCGAGAACCGATTGGGGTGCCATGAGAATGTAGCCTTCGACCGTCTCGATTGCCGGGCCAGCTATTTCCGGCGAATATTCGAGTACGGGGAGGACGAGTGGGGCGATCTCGATGATCTCGGCCGAGACGGGCGGCCGGCTCTGCATGAGGACCGAGTTCCAGAGTTCCAGGACCTCTTCGATGAGGGTAAGGTGCAATTCGGACGAAGGCTGTGCCGTTTCCCTGATCAGCGGGACCATCATGGAGTGATAGCGCTGCGAGTCGCTGCCCATCGCGTTGACTAAAGCCGTGAAGATGCCAACTATCGCCGTCTTGATCATGAACTCCTGCGCACCGGTCGTCTCGAACACCTGAACAGTTGCCGACATGACAAAGTCGCCGAAACGTGCCGCATGAGACTCAAGCCTGGTTACCGCGATACGGATAGTTTCCAGGACAGCAAGTCTCGTCTCGTCGTTTCCCAGGTCACTGATAAGCTTGGCGAGCTCCTGAAGGATGGACTGGGCGTGCGGCGCAAAAGCCTCGGCGTTGAAGTCGAGGTCATCCAGCACCATCTGGAGGTTCCGCGCCGAGGTGATGAGGACTACCACGTCGTTGTCGGGGTCTTCCGAGTTCAAGAAATGGCGGAACATTCCGTATATGATGGATCGGCTCTCGAGAGTCACCTCCTGAAGTGGCCATTGTCCAATCAGTATGGCAATTCGCCTCCGGAGCACCTTGGCTAATGGGCCCGTCTGTTGAGCGTCGGGCACCAGATTCTCGGCCAGGAAGGCGTTGAAGTCAACTTTTTGGACCAGATGCATAGCAGCTAGCCCCATAGCCGTGTATAGGGCATCTTTGGAGCTAAAGTCGCCCTGACCACCCTTCGCATTGTCAACGTAGGTCAAGAGACTGGGAATCAGTATGTCCTTCTTGTGGTTGAGGAGCGTGAGGAAGACCTTCTCCGCTGCCGGGCGAACCTCCCACTCCCACGCCGAGCCCTCGAACCTCTCGTGGTGTTCCCAGTCCTCTGGATCTTCCTCCCAAGCCTCGAGGTCGCATTTGCGGAAAACGAAGAGGCGGCTGAGAATGGTGTTGGCCATTCGTACCGTGAAATCGAACGTGAATAGTTCCGTCTTGATAAACTCCACCGCCTCGCCCTCTTCTTTCCTCGCTTCGGCACCACGATAGGCGAAGGTATGTTTCGGGAGGTATGCCAGTTCCAGGCATGACTTGATCAGAATCAAAGCTCGCGTGGCTAGCTTTTCCAGCAAAGGACCCTCGGCTTTGGCCTTGGAGCCGCCCGCGTTGCCTCCGGAGTATCTCACGCCTTCGGACTTGTCGAATACTTCAGCCAGCTTTTCCACCAGATCCCAGTACGCGTGTACTAGCGGGACGGAACTCGGTAGGGCGGCAAAAGCGGCCGGCTGCGACCGCGCCATGGAGATGTGCAGCTTGGTGAATTGCATAAGGTGCTTGCCCACGGCCTCCCGATACGGAGCTGGAACGGACGAGTCCTGGCTGACGAAAGCGAGGAAGTGGCCAAACTGGGTCTGGGACAGCGCCCAGAACTGCTGCACCGTCTTGTCCTTGTGGGGAGCCTCATAGCCCGAGATCAGAAGTCGGCGTAGGGTCTTGAGAGCAGAGAGGCTGTTGAGTAAGGCCATGTCAGCCTCGTCCTGGCTGACCTGGCCCCCGGACAAGTAATTCACCCAGACGGGTGTCTTTTCGGCGTAGATTTCCCCAAGAACGTACGCCATCTCCGGGGTTATGGACTGCAGAGCCGTCTGGGAGCTCTTGAGTCGGGCTGTGCTCATCTCCTTGACAACCTGAAGGATAATCTGTAGTGTGCCGTACAGCTGATGAGGCTGGTCGGTGGTGGACCGCAGGAGACGGATGAGGCTAGGGAGAGCGTCGGGCCACTGTCGAGGGTAATCGATCCTAATGATTCTCGCGGTCGCAAGGGCACTCTGTAGGGCTAAGCTTTTCTCTCGCTCAGCGAGTGTTCCCTGGATTAATCTCTGGCGAATGATGTCCTTCTCGCCCGGGGTAAGACCGCCCTTCGCCACGTTGGCAAGACGCCAGTGTTTGTCGATGCCATTCTTCAGTTGGATGACGGCCAGAAAACGAATATCGGTGGGGATAGACTGATCTAGAAAGACAGACTGTTTGGCGGTTACACATTTTCAGCATCATTGTCCAAGCCTGGACGTAGTACAGAGTACAAGGACGGGATTCTTTTTACCTGAAGAGACGAGTAGAAGCCGTTTTGGTCCTCCCATGACGCTAGCTGACGGCCGGCTGCTTGTCTCTTTGCGAAGTCGTTTGAAGTTGCTGCTTCTAGGGCACGGCACAGCTCCTGCACGCTCAGCGGATTGGCATCCCCCGGGACCTCGACAGCGAAGCTCATTGTGACTGTAAATGCGTGTGGAGATTCTCGAGGCGCACAAGAGGTTTTGTGACAAAGAAGAATGATTCTCGAACGTTAAATGTGAGTGAGAAGTATATACGGCGGTATTAGACAGTTAGAGCTGAGAAGAGGAATATGTGATGCCTTTCTGGCACCCTTTTCGTGCAGGCGCTTGAGGGCTTGAGGGGATGGTCCGTTGAAGCTCTGGTGCAGTTGGAAGTTACCTTGCGAAGGTCAGTGGTTTATCTTATCTTATCTGGGTGGTCATCACGGTGGGCTTTTTTTGGCGGGGTACGAATGAGTAAGGTACTTAGGTACTTGATGAATAAGGTATAAACTACACAGGGCGGAGTAGATAATATCTACAGGGTGGGTCCCCTTTCTTTTCTCCAACGGCCAACGTATGATTAGGTAAGCCACAAGCTTCTCAGAGGGCCCGGCGTCGGCTCGCATCAAAAAACGAACCTCGGCTCTTCACCTGCAATTGCCTCCCATCACATCACCCACCACCCGACGACACCAAAAGGTTCAGAAATGGGTAGTTTCTCAATCATGTAAAAGCTGAAGCCGTTCATACAGCTTCATTGTAGCTGAGGCAAACCACACTCGACCAGCAAATGCTCCCCAGATGACCTCTAATTTTGCGCAAGCGCAACAGCGCCTCGCCGCGCGTCGACAAGCCCGCGAAGCCGAAGCCCAAGCCCAAGCTGCGGCCCGCGCAGCTGCCCTCCGCTCCCAGTCTTCCGCCCGCGCCCGTGTCGCCCGATTACCTTTCCCCTTCTCCCGCCTCGATGCCGCCTGGGACACCCTCTCCTCCCGCGAGGGCACGCGTCCCGCTTTCCGCGTAGGCCAGGTCGACGCCGAGCTCCTCGACGACGAGCTCACCGAGCTGCTGCGCCGCCAGGTCGGCGAGGCGCTCAAGTACTTCGGCGGCGGCCACATCCAGGACGACTGGTCCGCCGAGATCCTGCTCGCCCTGCGCGCCGTCTTGTTCAAGTTGACCGTTTGGGACCACGACGCGACCTACGGCGCCGCGTTACAGAACCTCAAGTACACCGACGCGCGACACGCCGGGCCCGTGCTGGCGCCGCCCTCGCGCTGGCAAAAGTCGCTCTACGGGCTGTTCACCGTCTTTGGGAAGTATGCCTGGACCAGGTGGGAGGGGTGGCTCCTGGATCACAACGACGGATACGAGGAGCCGAGCCCGAGGATACAGCGGCTGTCGCGCATAACGGAAAAAGCATCGACCCTTCATTCGGCGGGGGCGCTGGTGTCGTTCCTCGTCTTTCTCCTACAGGGCCGGTACAGGACGGTCCTGGACCGGGTGCTGAGGATGCGTCTCGCCCCGCCGACCAGCCAGGTTAGCAGGGAGGTCTCGTTCGAGTATCTCAACCGGCAGCTCGTGTGGCACGCGTTCACCGAATTCCTTCTCTTCATTCTGCCGCTCGTCGGCGTCCACCGGTGGAAAAGGTGGCTTTCGCGGACATGGCGGAAGACCAAGGAGCTGATCAAGGCGAGCGGATCGGGCGACGGTGAACGGGGCGCACAGGGAGAATACGCTTTCCTGCCCGAGCGGACGTGTGCCATTTGTTACCAGGACCAGAACGCGGCGGCATCGACCGAGGACGAGATCATGGCCGCCGCGGCTTCGAGCGGCGTCGTTGGCTCGGCGCAGACAGACATCACGAACCCCTATGAGACGATAGCCTGTGGATGTGTGTACTGTTTTGTGTGCATCGCGACGAGGCTGGAGAGAAAGGAAGGAGAAGGTTGGACGTGCTTGAGGTGCGGCGAGCTCGTCAAGGAGTGTAAGCCGTGGAATGGAGACGTGCTAGAGCCCGTCAAGAAGTCACCAACAGGCAAGGTGGTGGCCTTCTCGGATGAATTCACCCAGGATGATACTGTGGTTGTCAGGGAGTCTGAAGGCGACGGAGCCTCGTCTTCTAGTGACGTGGCGTCGGAGACATATGAGGAAGCAAGGGAACAAGACCTCTAGAGGTTCTGTGTGGAGCCATGTACAACACCTCGATATTTCATTCATTCGTGTCTGAATCATGTTGGCATTACCAGGGACTTGGATGAAAGAATAGAGTCTCAAAGAACACACGCACACACGAATCCATCACGAGAATCAAACTAGGAAGCAGTTAACGAGTACACTGTGGCTGGCTGGGATAGCAAGATTATATTTATTCATTCGATCCATACACTGTCAGAGCCATGGGGACTTCCTCTTCTCCTCACAACAGCTCCCACCCCATTGAGCCGGTGTCTCGGAGCCTTTGCAATGGTGTTATTCATATTACACTACCCCGAAACCACCTCTCGCTGTGGTAACAATGAAGAGTTCAATTTCAATCAATAGGAGATATAGTCAACTTTTATGGAACAACTTGAAATGTCCAATGCATCATCTTGGCATAAATACGTTAAGAGGCTCAAATTCTCAGGCCACGGGAAACAGAATCAAGGGGGCGAATGCGGAGGGGAAAAAAAGAAGAGAACAGAAAAGAAAAAGGCCAAGTCCGCATATAACGCCGTCGCCATGCTCTACAGTTGTGCCCATGAGGAAGAAGAAGAGAAGAAAGAAAAAGAAGAGGGTCCGCCGAGAGGGCCTTTATACAAAACAGAAAGCAGCGCCATATATCCCTTGCTAGGACGGGCTCGACGCGGAATATTCGTGCATCAATCAACGTATGGCGAGCCGTATATATTCTGGGAGCTACCCGGGCTCAGCGGGATAGCCCCCGTCCGATGGTCCCAGTCATGATAGGTCTCTCGATGATGGGGGCTGAAATGGTCCTCGGCGTACCACTGCTGTCGCGCTGGTGACGGCCCCGGCGGGTAGTCGTTCTCTACCGGTGGAGACAGGAGCGGTGCAGGAGCTCTCTTCTCGCCCAGGAAGGCAGTCCCTTGGGAGCGTTCTTGGTCTTCAGCCAAGACTGGAGACGCTGACCTGCTGCATCGACTCAGCGGGATGTGCTCGCGGCGGTCGGAGACCCAGCCGTCCCATCGACCTCGGGTGGATCCGCCGCTGTTTGGGAAGTCCTGCAACCGGGGACGATGGTTGTGGTGATGGTGATGATGGAGATGATGGTGGTAATGGTGGTTGTGATGACGAGAATGGGAGTGACGGTCGGCGGGACAGAGATGGTCGTGTCGATGATAGGGGGTGAGATGATAATCATAGTCGTCGGGTAGAATGACGGGTCTAGTCGCTGAATTCGAGTGCCAGTCGATGATGGCTTCTGCCGCATCACCACCACCATCCTCCGGCTTCTCCTTGAAGTGGTCGAGGTCGGCTTCCATGTCCCGCAAGTGGAGAGTGTCCGGGCCGGCCCATTCGTCGATGAGCTCGGCGATGCGCCTGAAGCCAGGGGTATGGCCGCCGTTGTGACGAGCCTTGAATCCGCAGCAAATGAACAGGTAACTGTGTATGAGCTCATGAAGGAAGGTGGAGATAAGGAGCCGACGGTTGTACATTTTATCGTTGAGGATAGGATCAGATAAGACGATGAGGGTCTCGAACCCCCCGAGGAGCCGGGATCGACGGAGAGCCGTGGTGCCGATGATGTGGTGCTGATATTGGGTGCTCGAGGCGTGAGACCAGTCCCAGGCGACGCGACGGGAGAGACGGTTGTGGAAGAAGATTTCGTTGGCGGCCGAGAAGATACTCTCCAAAGCCGCATTGTCGATGGAAAACTCGGCCTCGCGGGATCTCGGCCGAATGAGACTTCTGAGGATTCTCTCGTGCTGAGAATCCTTGCCCCTTCGACGGGCGACGGCCAGACGTTGCTCTACATGCCACGCCGCCTCGGCATCTTCCAGTAAATGAGCGTCATCATGAGAGGAGGTTGCATAGATGGCTGTGTCGGATGAAATGGACAGGCCTGATGCCGTTCGCTCCATGGAACTAGCCGACATATCCGCGCTGGGGGCCCCCGCTGGGGAGGGCGACCGTCTTTCTCGGATGATCAAAAAGGGCGGATATTGAACAGAGGCCGGTTGCTCCGGAGGGGAGTGAGACGGCGGAATATCGGCTTCAGAGTAGATGTCCGTCGTCCTAAATCGCTTGAACGACGGCAAATAGTCCTCAGGTTGGTCCGAGCCGTCGGAAAGGCTAACACGCCGTTTACCTCCCATCAGATATGGGCAGGGGCCGCGGCCATCGCCTGCTGCAAGCGGCAATGGGCATGGCTCCCCGCCGATAAACTGGAAGGCCATTGAACATGCTCGGGGTGGGCAGCAGAATAGAGGGGCCAGGGCCAGAATTTCGAGTAAGAAAGAGAGGGAAAGGAAAGAAAAGGAAAGGGGAAAAAAAGAAGAAAAAACGAAGGGAGGACTCCGAGGAAACGGCTAGTAATTACGGAGTAAGGACACGGTGAGATGAAATATACGAAGTTGGTGAGCCCGGGGCGGAATAGGGTCAGTGTGTGGAATGAGCTGGACGCCGAGACTCTGGGCAGAGGACAAAGGGAGGCGAAGGCGAGTTGCTGCAAGTTGTAAGTACGATGTAATAAGTACGAAGTACGGAGTACGAATACCCCGTACCAGCAGCAAAATGCAGCAAATGCCAGGCAAATTGGTGGAGAGAGAGACATGGCAGCACCGGGGTCCAAGTATCCAACCAACGGCAGTACATGCCGCATTTGGGGGATGCGAAAATCGAAAATAGGTACGTACATGTAAGGATGCGGTCGATTCACTGACCTGTGCCGCCGAACCTAGGAGGATTAGCAAGCAGTGCGAGGAGAGCATACATAAGAATTTGCGATTTCCGCCTCACTCCCCAACTGGCGCCCAACTCACTCAAATTACTCCCTAACCCATTGACTCCCCACTTTGCTTCGTACCTCGTAGCAGCCGCATCGCATGGCTTCGTGAACAAAGTTTTCAAAAGGGAACGAGTTGGAGAGCCGACAGTTAGATGCCTTTCTGTAGTCATCTCCGTTACCGGCGGGCATCGAGTTCTCAGTGCCTGTGCTGTGTCTCTCTCTGTGTGTCTACCTCGACCCTTCTTCCTATTCATCTGGCTGCATCGTCAAGCCCTCAGAAGAAAACGAGTCAAGCAACGTTGTTGCACAGGGAGCGGTGTGCATTTATTATGAGGTCAACCCAGTCACGAGTCGTTCGTACTAGCATTGCGGGTTGGCTGGTTCGGGGGAGAGGAGGTGGTGCGGCTGTCCACTGCAGATGGGGATTCCCGCCTATCCCGTCTGGGTCGTCTCGCGCTCCCCGCTCCACCATTCTGGGTCGTTGTGGTTGCGGTTGCGGTTGCATGCAGCACTATTGGTGTAGCTTTTAGCAACCTCCTCTCTATCCTCTGTGCGAAGAAAGCGTATGGCGTCGATCCGGGAATAGTATAGCCTAACGATCAAGACGTGGCGCTTCAACATTGACGATGCTTCGCTTCGGGTCGTACGAAGTAGCGACTTCTCGTAGAATACCTCGGCCCCGCTACGCATCGTGTCCCTATTCCAACATAGGTATGGGTTGATTCTTGGTAGGCACCAAGAGGAGAGGAAAATCTTCGGATAATCACCCTTTTTTTTTTTTTTTTTTTACTGTTCATGCGAGAAAGAAAGCCGGGAAACTGTCCACATGAACGATAATCGTCTACCACGACGTGGACTTGCCTTGCAGGACATGGGGATATTCCAGGACGTCTCCGCCCAAGGATCAAGCGCGTCCCACTCGACGAACGTCTGGCATCAATCAAGACAGGGAAACGGGGAAGCGGCAGGGGTATGACAGATCTCGAACAGGGGGCGCGATTGGTGATAGAGATTATTGCGACTGCCGGAACGTTGTTTGACTGGTTGCCTCACAATGCACGCCCACCAAAAGCTGACTGCAAGTCCTTGCGTTGCGACTCTTTGGCTGCGTTCGTTCGTTCTCATCTCTTGTTTCCAACCATTTGCTGGCCACGACAACTCACAAGACCTAGATACACAGAAGGCGTCCCCGCTGTCGATCTGCATGAAGCGAAGAGTTGCATTCAATGCATTCGTTGGCCTGCGAGTTCGAAGTGCAGGGTCATTTGATGCGGCATGTGGTGGTCCAGTGTAATCCGTACTAAATAAACTCCGGCTTGTCCCCTGGAGTATGGCTGCTGAGTGTACATGACGGGGCCTACAGTCGAGGAAATGCACCCTGCAAGGCAATACAACGCAACACAGCGCAACGCAATGCAGCGGGCAGCGATGCTCGCCCTTGCATCGGGGATACTGGCTGGCGAAGCGATGCACGTCGCCTCGTCTTCGCTCCGGGAACATGAACTGCATCATCAGTATCTTTGCCTCTGTTCGCTAGGGTACATTTCAACTGCCTTGCTGGCCAACTACCGGCTGGCTTGCACGAGGCCGAAGCGGAGCCCCTCTCTCGAAATAAGGCGGCTGTCTCGTCGTCTCATGGATTTCCTGTCCGACAATCAATGGGTATGGCTTGACGTAGTCCGTAAACTGCTCTGTCTTTTCAGCTCTCCTGACAGTTATCTGTCAGATCGATCAGTGAAGACTTGTGCTTTGCGGCCAATAAGTGTGTCCCTATAAGAGAAGGAAGGATATGCGCGGCCAGCGAAGCAAAAGGGCGCGTCTGTCCTTTTAAGACCGGTGAGAAGTTTTTGCAATGCTCCACACGGGCTCACACAGGGGCGGGCATACGAAGGAAGGTACCTAAGGTACACGATTGGAGACCCGCTGACTCATCCTCGTGTCGTCTCTTGGGCCTCATTCAACGTCGAGTCGTCAAAACAACTTCAAAAAACCCCCTTTCCTTCCACAAGGTCACTTTTTTAGACCGTCTATTGCGGCTCACTCTTCGCTTTTCAAAACACAGTTCACTTAAAGCAAGCGCATGTCATTAGCCTTGCCATTTATACGGACTGTATCTTTCGATCCCCATGAGCTGCGTCGTAATGCTGTTACACCGACCCCAGGAGGTTTATTCCGACTGCTCGAGTTGGCGTCTAAGCTTGAATCGATGACGAGACGATAAGGTTGACTGAGACTTTTACCTCCCCCACTCTGTGCATATTCATGTAGCCTGATCTCCGTCGAAACTCGAATCATCCCTCCTTGAAAGACACCAGCCGGGAGGCATGTCTTTCGCATTGAGCTGACCGGAATCCCGAATCTGTATGAGTGGACACCGACTCGGATTGATTGCCTCTCGGACTATTAGGGACAATGTCTGAATCCGTTGGCCTTGTTCCTTCCAAAATACGAAGTCAATCCAAACTGCTTAAAGTCGACAACGTTGCTAATTCGTTTCAAACAGAACGGGACACCGGCTCCGTGTAAGCCCCCTAGGATGAGGCTACAATTTCGGAATATCTCACCTCCTAGATAGAGCTTCGGCATAATACCTGCTCAATTCACCTAGATTCACATTTGCATTTTGCGTCTCACGCGTAACTTGCAGGTGCCCTTCGTCTTCCGTGGGAGATGAAATGACAGGGGACTGGGATATGGACTGGAGGTGTGGGTGGAATAATGAGGCAATTCTTTTGGAATAACCAGTTTGTCCGTCGATATATTGTGCAGATCAAACCCGAGTGCTACTCAAGCCAGATGATATGTCGTTACTTAAGCCACTGTGCACGTCAGTTTGTCTGTGGCGAGAGACCGCAACGACAAAGGTGAAAGCGGTGGCTTGACTTCGACTTCGACTTCGACTTCAGCTTCAACTTTGGCCTTCGGGTTCCGAGGAGAAAGTATCCTGAAGAGGCGGCCGACACCACGAGCATGAGGACTTGCCGAATATCAGCATCTTCCACGTGCTGCAGCTGCGAATATCACGACCAAGATAGTCCCGGAGTATGCTCTCGGTTACCCAACCGATAGAAGTTAAGGAACCGAGGAACGTTCGAAAGACATTCGAAAGCAAAACAAGGTCGAACCTTAGGTAAACATGTTCCTATTCGTTCTGGGACTTGAGGACCTTGAAGAAGATGCGGACATGTCATCGCTGACTCCGTGCCTTCCTAGATCCAGCCCCGTGTAATCTTGGTCGTGCTTTCCTTCTTTCCCCGGACTACTTGCTAAGATCAGGACAGGCAGGCACACGGACATATTTCTCTACATCAGTGCCCGCACCTGCTCCTTCCAGCTAAAGTATACCTCAACTCCAAATCAGATATAGACTGGTATAGGGAAGGAGTGATGTGGGGAGGAGGACGGAAGGCTTCTAACTCCAGCATCGCCAATTCCTTTCCAACACATCCTCTTGACTGTTTCTATTTTCTTCATCACCATCAATTCCGCTTTTCTGGCTCGTTAGCTAACTCCTCCACGCGACAACCGGCCTATGTTCACCTCCATCTTTCTTTCTCAACTCCACTGGATCAACAGCAACTATGTTGACTGAGTTCACTCAGAGGCATCGACAAATTTGAACAGACTCTGGTTGCCTTGGTGCAGAATAGTCATCGTCTTGCCCTGTGGACCCCTTTCCAGCTTACCTTTTGGTTACTCATTTTCTCTTCAAACCACTTCTCTTCACATCCCTTTCCACCTATTCCCTCCTTCGCCCTCACATACCTCAGCTACCCTGTGCCCGGCTGTGAGGCATAACAAAGGAGACAAACCGGTTTCTTGTTTCTCGAAGCAATATCACCACAAGTGTGCCTGCTACGTTTTTCACAAAAATAGGGGGTCCTTTAACCATTGGCCCCGGAAATCGCGCGCTGGTATTACCAGGCGTTCTCTTGCTTCTTTATCACAACTGCGAAAAGTCATACCCCATCAGCCCACGGAGAGATTACAGCTCAGCGGTCCTCTAAGGTCACCGAAGCATCCTCCTACTTCTCCAAAGATTCTTCTGCACAATCATTCGTACAATGTCTGCGGACAGAAAGCAAGGAGGCTCCGAGGTAAGTCCACTGGTATTCTACTGTTCTAGTTACCACATAGCATGGGAGAAGTCTAACGACTCCGTCCAGTTTGAGAGAAACCGATCCATTACCCCGAACCGATCTCTCTTCGGCTCATTTGGCGAGGCACACCGTAAAATCACGAAGGGTGCGGATGCAGCATCTGAGCCCACGAGTACAGCTTTTGGGGACGAGGTTGTCCGCTCCGCTACCCATCGCCCTATCGCCACTTCAAGTCCTGATGAGCAAGCTGCCGACTACGACAAGCCAAGACCGGCCTCTCCGGTGACCTTCGTTCCTCATGGCTCTCCGAGACGCAAAGACTTTGTCGAAAAAGATCGAATGCACCTCGATTATTTTCCCCTCTCAACTCCCGATCCGCTGGCTGTCCATCTCCATCTCCTGGACGCTGACCGAATCGACGATGAAACCCAACCCTTCATAGTGAATAAACAACCGGCTGGCTCGTCCGTGTCTAAGCGAGCAGTGAACCTTCGACTTCCTCCGAAGCTGAAGTCGCATCATCAACATTACGACAACCTCGAGAAACCCAAGACAAGACTCATGCAGACTGGCCTGGCATATTCGCCGCAAGGAGAGGAGACGCTCCATGCAAAATTCATAAATCAGTCTAGCACCAACGGCCGAGATCGACCTGATTTGGATGAACCAGCGGGACTCGCAACATCTCGCGCTGATGGTTTAGCCTTGTCCAAGGAGGTTGAGACGTCAAGTCTTCATTCTGACCTTCTTTCCTCTCCTCCGGATAAATGTGCCGCGGAAACCGAAGGTAACGGAAACTTGGAAACAACTCGCACAGCTTCCCCCCCCACAGGTCATGGTGCTGCCACAGAACAGCAGGAAGAGCCCTTCGACCCCTTTGCTGTCTTCGACACCGACTCGGACCACTCGATCTCCGACGCACCCCAGGACCCCTTTGAAGATGACCGAAAGTATAGCTTCTTGCGTCCAGCTGCGGAGAAAGAGGTGTCTCGTGCGCTGCGGAATGCCAGTGATCTGAGCCATCCATTGTTTGCCCAAGTCATACGCTTGGAGGAGACTTACTCACCTAGTCCTCCTATTCCCTCGTTTGATCCCGCAAAATTTGCAGAGCGATTGCGGGAGGAGAAAGAACGGCAAAAGGAGATTGAGAGAAGGGAAAGTCAGCGGAAGGGACGTACTGAGCATTTCTACAAGAGCTCTGTGATCCAGTCGGCTTGGAAGACCCCTGATAACGGAATCAGAATTCCTACCTCACCGCCGCCTCCATCAAGCACTACCAGCTTGGCAAGAGCGTCAGGAAATCGGCCTTGCGGTGACCTAGACCGAAAGGATTACACAGCCACGCCTTTCTTCAACAACAAGTTTGGAGGCGCGACTGCAGGAGCACCCAGTGTCACCGAATCGGGCAATGACTGGGTAACTGTCTCCGATGAACAGAATGCTCCCACCAGAACACCCGCCAGAGCCCTTCTGGGAAAGCCCATGGGCAGAGTTGTCAGTGGGAGTAGCATTGCTAACTATTCTGACCATGTTTTTCCGCCTCTCAACCACCAGGAATCCGGTTATAGCTCCCAGCATCCGAACCTGGATGAGCGGGATGTTGCATGGTGGGAGAGCATCCCGTATTCCCAGTCAAGTAATCCCGGTGAGCTTGGGGAAGCAGCTCGTACTTGTCACAGTCAGTGGTCTGGGACCAGGCCTCCTTTCTCACAAGGTACGTTGCTTGTGTGCCCCATACCACCAAGCGCGCGTGCGATTGTATATACGCAAAGGTCCATTCTAATTCACATGTACCCGGCAGATGGCTTTGAGCGCAGTGCAGTCCATGGCCTTGGCATTTCACAAGTCAGAGGCTTCTTTAGCAACAGTAAGCGGGACGAAGTGTTTGATGACGATGAACGGATGGAGTTGCGGTCACTGCCAAAGCGCCAGGAAAGGAACAAGAACAAAGCAGCTGAAGATCAAAGTAACGCCCAATGCTACGGAAGCCCTCTCACTTGGACCGTCAGGGACCCATTGTCTTCGCCCCTGGCTCAGGATTGGGATGATCAGCGTGTAGTTGCTGAATCAGACCGTTTGTCGAGGAAGTATCCTAGCTTACCTTTCCCTCTGCTTCCCCTTAAAGAAGCTGCGCGCATTCAGGCCCACCGACGTGCTAGTGGGCTCGAGGATCAGACGGAGTCTGGCAGTTCGGTGACATACCATCCCATGACCCCTCGGCTTCGACAACCCAGCTCGACATTGCCGAGCCCACCGACGCCGTCCCTACACCGTGAAGCTATGCTTTATTCCCCTCCAGGGTCGACCTTGGCGCCTACGCCGCAGTCTCAGCAGCCACTACCGCGGCCTTGTCCGAGTAAGCGGCCGAATAGCACACAATGGAAGGAGGATCGTGCTGACACTTCACAGCGTACCTTCCAAGTCGTTCGAACGGGGTGGAGGAAAGCTATTGTGAAAATCCTTTTCTGAGTCTTAGCGAGCAGCGCCTGATTGCCCACACCTCGAGATTCGGCAGCGGTCACAGCTCTGACAGTACTCAGCGCGGCCGTTCTTCCATCTATAGACCCCGTCTGAACACGCGCAGTACCGTTCGCCGGTATCACGAAGATACAGACCCCGAGCTTGGGGCAATGGCGGCTCGATATCGTCTCTCAGGTCCACGCTCTTTCGGCACAATCTCGGACGCAGCCAGGTATCGACAGACCCTATTCTTCCTCTTGACTCTCTTAATCAACATCCCGCTTCCCGTATTTGGCATTACTGTCCTGTTTGGAAAGCTGGATTCTGGTATTTCTTGGTGGACTCATGGCGAGGTCCATGGCCTCGCTCCTCATCAGTTGGAGTGGGTGCGCATACAGCTTGTGGCAGAGGGCTCCATCTACCTGATGATGACCATCTTGCTGGTCGTGGTTTACGTCCAGCACCAGTCGTGAGTTCCTCCCACATTGGAATCGCTGTTTTCTTTCTTCTATATTGCCGGACCCTGGTGTTCTTGGTTCCTAAGCTAGTGAAGATGGACACTTGGAGCCCCCAATCTGTTGCACTGTAAGACGCATGTACAGCGAGTTCTGGTTTTCTTCCCAGAGAGGTTTCGGGCCATTGTCTTCTTCAAGGCTTTGGCGAAGCAGGTTGGGTTGTATAGATGTGTTATGTACCGTAAAAAAAAACTAAATAAATAAAAATGATAAAAATAAATAAAAATGACAAAAAGGAAAAAGAAGAAGAAGAAAAGGAGGTAGGCGAGGAGGGGCGGAAAACGGCAAGAAATGGCCTTGAATCAATGTGAGCTCCAGTCACCACGAAGGTCAATAAATCTCTGATGGCAGTGTTTAGCAATGCCCAGTGGACTTACGTGAAGATTTACGTGAAATTAAGAGGCCGCTGGTTCCTACAGAAGTGTAGATCACATTGAGGGCTTTGTCATCCTAATAATTAGAGAACATTGATTGGAACTAAGTGCCTAGCAAATATGGCTGACGCTTAAAAAGAATAGACCACGCCAATCTGCTTCCTATGCCTTGTTGTTTTCTTCTTTTTATATCATGTGTCCCCCCTTGTCTCTGCACGCTATTGCGACTCACTTCCGAGGAACTAAGTCTCTCCAGGCACTCCCGCCTAGGCGCGCCTCCGGGTCGAGGGCCCCTTCCGGGAAGGTGAAGGCGATGCCCCCGTGGAGGTCGTTGTCTTGACGGCATCGGCGTAGGAAGGGGGTTTCTCCTCGCGCTTCTTCTCGGACTTGGTGGAGGGCGCGTTCCAGTAGTAGAGCATCTGGGCGGCGAGAATGGCGTTGAGGATAAATCCGGCAACGTAGCCGTACAGGACAAGCTTGTCATCGACTTCCTGGATGGTGGTGAAGATGCGGGTGAGGGAGCCGAGGAGGTAGTTGAAGACCTGGGAACAAAATGACGTGGTGTTAGTCTAAGGGAACCATCGACAGTAGCAAAAGATGAAGGGG